TAGGGAAATGTTTTCAAATTCTTCTAAAGAGCAGAAACACATTTTAAAGATCAAACAAAGGAAATAATTATGTGAAACAAAGTGGCAAAAACCACAGCATGAAAATCTAACACACACATATTTGGTACCTTTCTGTTGATGCCAGGTGTTCCACATCATCCTTGCAAAATATGTCAAAAGAAAATTTGCCAAATCATGCACACAAAAATCTTCTTTTACAATGTACAATAATGCTAATTATAGCATTGATCTCATTTTATTCATCTAGCAAACCAAACTGTTCTTTGAGGCAGAGAAGCACTTCCAAATGTGATGGAAACAGCATTCAAACACTACAGGGTGAAAGATTCTACCCATTTGTTAATCAACCTACTTTAACAGATTTCATGTTACAGAATTTCACATTAAGATTTATGTTATCTAGATATGTCACATATTACAGCCAAGTTTTGAAAATATAAATACATATTTTCAAGGTCAAAAAGCTGTTATTTACTTTGTAGAATTTTGTACTTGAAGTTTCCCTGAGCATTCTAGTTTTGTGCTTGAACAAGCTTTTAAAAGAGGAGTAACAAATCCACTATACTAGTGAAGCATATCTAAAAGCATATACCAGTGCTCAATGCAACCAAAAAATACTGAGTTATTTAAATATCTTTTAAAAATATATTAAAATATGATCAGCTATTTTTCTATATCACCAAAATGTTTCATGCTATTTTTTAAGAAGTCTCCCTTTAGTTATGTAAAACATTCAGGGGGTTTAAAGCAAGAAACATTTTAAGAAAAAATAACACACAAAAAACAAGCCACCAAGAGAAAAAAAAATAAGTACAAACATTCCTCATTTTCTCTCTCTCAGAAACTAACAGAGGAGCAAAAGGAACAAGGCTCTATTTACTGGCATGTTACTACAGGTAATTTTCTCATCCAGTTCTTAAACTAAGAGAGACATGAAATACTTTATGTTCAAGGCCACAAGGCGCAGGGGTGGTAAAAGGAGCCACAGTCTTCTACTGATGACATTTGAGCAGGCATTCATTCTGCTCTCTTTAAATTACTCATGGAATTTTCCACTGTGTTGGTAAACTGGATAATACTGAAAGGAGTATTATTTGAGAAAAGTAAAATAGTATTTAAACTAGGATAAAGGGCAGCCATTTTCTGCAGCACAGGTTAAAAACAAGGGAATTTTACATTTGTAATTAATTCATTTTTAGGTATCTTGGGGTTTAAACTTTCTGTTCTCCTCAAAGAAGTAATATAACATTTATGATTCATTGAATTCACAATCAAAGAAAAAGTTATGTACCCTACTATTGTTTCGTGAGTAGTTATGGATAATTATAGCTGTTTCATTAATTCTTTGACAGCATAATAATTAAGAGGTCCTTCTGCCACAGTTAATGCAGATGCTGAGATGCAGCTGTATCTGCAATGCCGTCTCACCTTTAGAGGTCTTACTGCTCTTTTTTGGTTTCATTTCAACAAATCCTACTAAAGCAAATGCCATTTCAGCATTACATGATCATTTTTATTTTTTCAATGTTGTTCCTATTTGTCAGCCAATTAATAGGCATATTTATTAATACATTAATTATTCTTCTGGAATATGAAGAAATATTTTGGAATATTAAGTTTCCAATTATAAACACCCAGTTTAATATATAATCTGTGGAAACATACACAGCTTTAGTGCTGAAGTGCATTTTAACATGCATATTTCTGCAGACATTTACGGGAGGAAGAGAGTTTGCTATGATCTTCAGAGCTTTTAAATATACAAAGTAATAGGTCTTGGTAATGAAGTCAGTAATAACTCTCATTTCCCTGTTCAAATAATAGAACTGGAAAAGCTTCAAAGCAGCTGTTACCGTCTACACAAACTATCCCATAAGTATGTGTGAATCCTATTTGAGTCCTTCATGAGGTCCTTTCCCTCTACATTTCTTGGCAAAGTTGGCTCAGTAATGACAAGAAATGCACCACAGTGCAGGAGCTAACCCATGGTAGCAGAGGAGAGGAGAGTTATAAGGCACAGAACTGAGTTTCATTTAGTCAAATCATTTTCAAACTAAAACATCTATCAAGGAATACCAGGAAATGAAGAAACCTTTCCTTAGGAATTAGCTGCACACACACTGCTTCTGGATGTTTATATATTTCTTATGGACAATTAGCCTTTTGGTTACACAACAAATCATGCCAAAATCCAAATATACTACCTTCTAATTCAAAGAAAATACAGTGAGAAAATGAGAGCCCTCTTTACAAAAGGAGACAACTCCTGAGAAACCCACTTAAGCCATGCACTGTACTTAGGATGGATGGTGCTGAGATCTAACTCCAGCCTGATGGAGACTAAAGTGATCAGGGTTACAGTTCTGCAGTTCTACAGTTGATTGACTTCCTACATAACCATCAGTCAGTCACCTGATGTTTTAATGCTGCAAGCAAATGTGCACAATACTTCTGTCCTCCTATCTTTCACCTCGTAATGAGCAATCACTGCTCTAACTTCCAATCCCAATATGAAACAAAAATCTTGGCTAGGTACTTTGGATGTTACAGAAATACCAGTAGCTACATAGCTAAATAAACAATTATAATAAATCTTAGAAGGTTACACAAGCAGTTTTTTAAAACATGTATAATCCACAGCATAACCTTCCAATTCCAGAAAGTAACCAGAAAAGCTGCAGATTTAAATCCCTGTCTTTTTCTTTCAGGGATATGATTGATAAGATAAGCCATACTGAACTGAATTCAATTTCAGCAGGTGAAAATAGGCAATTTTTTCCTAAATACTCGTAATTACTCACTTTTTTTTGTCACTTGCCCAGAGCAAGACTCTAGGATGCATTAAAACAATGATCAACTCATATAATGGGTAAGAATCTTAAAACTTATTGTGATAGGGGTCTGCATCACTCTGCAAATGCCTTCCTTACCAGGTGTGCTCCACCACACAGGAGATGGCACTCCTAATCACTATGTCCTAAGACTGAAAATAAGACTTTTACATAGCAATGCTGGTTCTAATGCTGACTCTCAAAGCCAGCTTTTCATCAGCTACTTCATTCATTCTACTTTAATTTCAGTGCAGTAAAGGACAAAAAAATGTGACTTTACTGTGGTAATACTACATACATCATTTAAGCCTTTGGTAACTAATGACTGTGGGGGTGAGGAGAAGGTTGTGTACCTAAGCCTATACATACAAGGGAGAGACTGCATTAAATAGAAGCAAGCATGCTCAAAGACTCAGAGCTCAGCAACCTATAGGCTCTTCACTTCTTTGACAAGTAGACACTTTGCAAGCACTTTTTAAAATATTAGGTTTAAGATTTTAAATATTAGATTTTTAAAGATAGGTCAATTATATAATCAGCATACGCAATTTAGGCACAGCCCCACAAATTCCACCGCTTTCATGTAAAGCTCAGGTTATATAATATTAAATTTTCCATAAAAATATTTAACTAAACTTTCTTCAGATCCTCAGATTTAGTTGACACTTCAAAATGTAAAACCTAGACAGGAGCTACTTTCACACTGAGGGAAATTACACTTCTGTACTGACGTACCTACAAGGTTACAATAAAATTAAGCAGTACCATGAAAAGGTAAGACCTGATGACCATTCAAACTCAGCATCTGATACAACAGCTTTGCTGTGAATTTTACTTTGAAAGGTCTGAAAATGTCAACAAATCAAAAGATCACATTTAGTATCTTATCTATCACTGGTCAAATTAATAGCAGCCAAGCTTATTCTCAATGCATGGTTTTCTTATTTTGAGTCAATTCTCTTCAAAAAGCACTGAACAAAACAGACTTAGAAAAAAATCTTGGTAATTTCTCATTAAATCAAAAGGAAAATTCAGCAAAGTACTAGCTTAAACACAATTTTATTTGAAGAAAATAATTCTGCATTATTTTAGGAAAATCAAATGTAAAATCAAAAGAAAATATTCCATATGTTGTCCTTCTGTTACAGGTATTTGTTTTTCTTCTAGTAACACATGATAAATGCTGCTATCCGTTCATTTTGGTGCAAATACGCTTAAGGAATAGTTAACAATAAGTAATTTATCAATTTATTTCTTTTGTTAAGCTATTCTGTGTATTAAAACAAAAAGGGAAAACAGTCACTTCAACGTTTCTGTTGCATTTTTTAAATTAACAACACACTAGCTATGAAAGAAATTTCCTTTCTTAATAAAGCACAGAAGTAACCTTTGCACAGGTAAGCAAGAAAGCATGTTTTTAAAGTAAACGCCTTTCTTTCTTTGCTGTTTGAGATAAGAAAGCATTTCAGTTTATGTTTTCTCACTAACTGCATGTTTCAAATTAAAAATGTATCTGTTCATGAACATACTCTAGAGTATAATGTTCAGTTACTTAGCAACTTCCTACAGCACACGTAGGAAATATCGAGTCAAAGATATAACCCTGGTTAATATTTTCCCCTAATCCGTTTGAATATTGTGGATATTTTTAGATTTTGCATTTCCCAAATAAGCAAGTTACCATTTAAGCTATAATCCTCATGAAAATCAAAGTGATATATAGACTGCCTTCCACTTGTTGTGACAGTCACAACAGCCTTCAGATGACAAAGTGACAATTTGGTATGCGCCAGAAAATCATGCACTGAGAATAAGCTTGGCTGCTATTAATTTGATCAGTGATAGATATTAAATGTGATCTTTTGATTTGTTGAAATTTACAGACCATTCTAAATCAAACTGAAATTCACAACAAAGATTATATTAGATGCTGAGTTCAAATGCAACTGAACCAGTCACCAGGTCTTACCTTTTCATGATACTGCTTCATTTTATTCCTTAAGCTTCAACACACACTGTGCTTAAGGGGACACATAGTGAGGATACAGTAAGATGGTATGATTGGAAAACACATTACTTCATAAGATACTCTGTTTAGCAGTCTGATCCATCCCCATTGATTAAACAAACTGATTTAAAAGAAATCAAGTACTATTACAACCTCAGCCTTAGAAAAAATCTTTCCTTTCTGCTAAAGGAAGCTCCTGATATAGACATAAGACGGATTCTAATCTATATTTTTTTAACAAGAATTTATTACATTCAAGTGATCCCTGAATGGTTCATTCACCTACTGAAGTACATGGAAATTTTTTTTAGGTTTTGGAAAAACAATCTAGTATTTTTAATGTAGAGCCTTACAGGTACATGGACTTTCCTAAACATTTCAGCTCCTTTGCATGCATCCAATAAAGCCACATCTTGTGGAGTGGAGACGATCACAGCTCCTAGGAAAGAAAACATGAAATATTATTAAAATGTGTATTATAAATTATACTGTTAAATATTTTTACTATTTAGTACATGATACTAAATTCAGAGTAGTCACACATTCATATACTTTTCTTGAATTTAAGAAAGAAAATGATGCTACTTATTATGCAATGACCAAAATCACCTCGATATGATATTGAGTGATAGAAATAAAAAAGATATTTTCATCATAAGCTTTTTTATGTAGAAGCTATTTATATTTTCTAAAAGAGAAAATTTACCTAGCTTTCACAGGCAATATGGTGCAGATGCTGACAGGTGGCAGAAGTGGTACTCCAGGGTATCTACACCTTAAATGTCTCATTCCATATCTGCATTTGAAAGCTTCTGATACTGTTATAAGCCTTGACCTAAAACCAAGAGGCAGCTACCTGTAATGAGACTGTTGCTTCCTGAACCTGCTATACTTTCTGATGGAAGCACTGACAGGCACAGTCTTGAAACATGTTACCCTAGACACACCACCAGTAGGTTTGTATGAATGATACCAGAATATAAGAAGCAAACTCATGCCCACTTGCAGTAGGTTTGAAAAAAGCAGTTTTGCTCACTGTTTAGACATGGCTCCAGGTTACCTGATAATTAGTACTCACGGGAGTCATCAAGCATATAAAACAGCTAGAGCTCTTTGTCAAAGGTCAGATTCTAAAGGAAGCCTACAGATTACTATCCCATGCTATCCTATATTACTTCTTGATTAATACAGCCAATACAGACATTATAATACTCCACATCTCTTCACAAAGAGCATCTTTTTGCATATGCTCAGGTGTTTCAAATATTCTTTCTTTGAAACTTGTTTCAAGAATCTGCTCATGCTTGTTCCTATTTTAGAAAAATGCCATGTGAAAGAGGACATTACTGGTTAACTGATGAGCTCTGGTTTTATAGTGACCAGCCAGTCTCAAAATATATCTGTTATAAAAACATCTCTGCAGAGCCACATTAAGCCAGCCTAGCACAAGAACTTTATGCCAAACTTCACACTAATAGCAATTACAACAGACAAATTTAGATGCATGGAACAGTTTCCTACTGGGCCTGCAGTTCCCAACCCTAATGGACATGGCAAACAAGAGGTGGGTAGATTTCCAGAGGCCCACATCCCTGGCATTGCTGGCAGGGGCCAGAGCATCAGGAGCCCCAGCGTCTGCAGAGCACTCCTGGCTCTGGCAGCACTGGACAGGGAGCCCAGCTCCTCACAACGACCCCACACTGTCCCCCAGCTGCTAGGTGCCATCTTGTCAGTCTGACAGCCAGCTGCTTCCAAACTCTGCCTGACAGCACGTTTGAATGTTTTCCACCAGCATTCTTAACCTCAACTTTGTGAAAGAAAAATACAATCTGGCGCCTCACTCCTGAAGAGCTGCCAACCTCTGCCCTACATAATATTAGACCCAAGTCAAAATACTGAACGACATATGTAATGTACCAAGAAAGTGCAATTTCCCTATTGTTTGCTAAAACTCTGGCATTCAAATAATTTGCTGTTTTTCCCAAGCCAACCTGCTTCCAATGGCATCACAAAGAATAACATGGAATCCTTTCTGTGACATTCCAGTCACCTTAGCTCCTTGTTTCACTAAGTGTAGCGTTAAGCATTACAGCTCACATTGAAATGTAGGGCTAATTCCACAAAATGAATGCACCCTTCCTGAAAATACAGTTCACAAGTAATTTAGACTCAATGTCTTACAGTCTTCTGCATATTGGTAAAACAAAGCCTATTATTGCTTTCTGTGATTTGTGTCCTGTCTATACACTGATGTTAGTAATTTTAAATTTTGTTCTCTGAAAATGCTCGCTTAGCATTCCCTGGATCTTCAGACAGAAGTTAATATGCAGTCAACAGAACTGAAGTCTACATTTTCTGGTCCATTATTTTTTTAAGAACCAAATAATTGGCATGGCATGAAGGACAGAAACTATGCAAAATGAAAACACTCACTGGAACCACAAGCAGTGTATCTGAGAAATATTTTTGACTAACAAATTCTCATCCAAAGGGAAAAAAACTACAATGCCATGAAGACTCAATGGCACATTGTAGAGCTTAGGCTGCCACAAACACCAACTCCCTGAAAAACTTCTGCTTCTGAAACACATGAGTCAAAGTTACAACCATGGAAAACTCGAATGGCTTCTTCCACAGAATGAAAGCCAACATGCTCAAGGAACTGCTGAGGGAGCAATAGATGTGTCTTCTTTTCACTTTGAGCTAAATATATTCACAGCCAGCTTGTACTAACTTATACCAACACCCTTTAAAATAAGTATCTTTCCTCTTTCTTTGGTACAACTGCTAGACCAGCAAACCCAACCTGAAATTCAGAAATTCAAATTATTAGCAGCATTGTTTCCTTCACTAGCAACCGAACATAGCAAATGAGATTTTTCACAGTACTTTCCTCTCTGAATAAGTTTGCATATGTTTAGTTCAGAAATTGATTCAAATGATGCGCCATAGGGAACACAGCCCACACTTTCTTTGCTATCTTGGCTTTACATGGTTAACAGGAATGTCAAAAAATAAAGAGTTATTTTGATCAATAATGTAATGCTATGACTAAACTAATGCACGCAGCACGTCCCTTGAAGCAATACATGCAATGTTTACACAAGCCTCTGTCTGAATGAGACAAACTAAGGCTGTCAAACTGAACCAAGAAGCTGCAGAAACTGTAACACTATCTGATTGCACATTAAAACATACTTCGAATTCTGCAAATGTTTGCAGTTGTGTGCAGAATAATTTCTATGCCTTGAGCACACTAAGGAAACCTAAATCAAGCACATTTAGGTTTAACAAACATATCTATGTATTCATGCATTCCACTTAATTCTGTAACGTCACCGTATTTCAAGCTGACAAAAAGATGATACATGTTGCATTAGCAAAAACTATGCTGATTTAATTTTTAATCCTTAGCATGCATAATATATAGAGACAGTACGAAAAGTAGCTTGTAATACTGATGTTTGCCTTTTTTTGATGCTAGGTCCTTAGTCCTCAGTAAAAGAAAGGTGTGCTGACAAGGCACATCAGCACTTGAACTTCTGGTGGACTGGTGCTCAGGTAATTACAAGCACTGGAACAGTCTACAATTTCTGTATAAAGAAAATATCACCTATATTCACTGCATCATTAAGGTTTTCATTAAATGCTCTGGGTCACAAGACATAACATGGAATCTCTCCAACCCTCACCTATAGTCAATTTGAAGACCAGTGAAAAACACACAGGTCTAAAAAGCAGCTGATAAGTAGCACTTTAGAAGGTCTACATTAGGGTGAAAAGGAACCCTCTTACATATAATTTTTCTGCCCATCATCTTGGAAGACAGACTTCAGAATCAGGCCGTGTGCATCTCATCCAGACAGATTACTATGGACCCCCTCCAAACACAACTATTAGACTATGTTTTACATCACCCAGATTCCTATTAACTTAGCAAATAATGTTACCCCAAAACTGTGGAGTGAAATCAGAAAGACTGACTACTAGAGTTCTCGAGTGCATTTTTTCCAATAATAGCATCTGCTGACTGATAGGCACTGAATGCTCCTACAAGGAACCACTTTCAGGCCTCAGTGCAGCTGTGAATGGCCTGGTCTGACCACATCACTCAAGAACTTTTTGCAGATTTTGCTACCTTTTCCACTGCATCTATGTCAAACTTCTAGGCAAGACTTTCAGGTTATAAAAAGCCTGGTGTATCTGAATTTTCTCCACTATGGATCTCTTCAGAGTTTCTCTCACTTCTGTTAAACTTTTTGTTACTTCATTGGTAAAATGTGCCTGCAATTATAGATAGAGTTTGGACTTGAAGATGTAAAACAACATCTTGCAAGAACAAAGACTTCTGTCTGTTAGAATTTCAGCTGGTGACAATTACAGTCACATTAACATGGAAAAAAATTGTCCACCTCCTTGGATAAACCTTGTAAAGAAGCTCCTTTAGCTTTAGTGCGTGACATCCCATTAAAACTAGCAACTTAAAAAAATTACTAGTGTCATTTTCTCTTATGGGATGCTTACTTGAGACTCATACTACAGCTCAGAACTGTCCCAAAGGCTGGATCTTGGCTGTGTCACACTTCCAGCCTGCTTGCTACCTTCTTTTTGGAGGAGTCTTTGAACAGCTGCTCAGTCAGTGTATGTTTCCAACATTCTTCTGCCGATGAACTAGAGGGTAATTAGAGACTGGAACACTCTTGCCTTGCCCACATGAAAAGAGGACATAAATCCTAGAGCAAGGTTCTTCCTCCTGGCAAGAGGAACTGCCAGTGAAACCATTGAGCAGAGGAATATCACAAGCTGGATAAAGCTGTCACCCTGAAGTTAAACTGCTCTCATCTAACCAATGAGTAAGTATTATAACATCCATTTCACACTAGATCACTTGCAGGAAGACATGGAAGGACAGCTCTCTAAGTGTTAAAATGTTTGGGTTTGGTCATGGCAAGCTGCATGCATGCCATACTAATGCAATTTACGATGCATTATTTACTTAGCAAAGTGAAAATACTAAGAGCACTTCTAACATCATCTGTGAACAAGCATTATTTGCGAAATACAGGCATAAAATAAAAAGCTACTCCCTCAGAGACACTCCACCACTTTTTCCTTTTCCTAGGTATCGGAATTAGCATTTTTCTGCTCTACTCCATTCCACCTCCTGCTTTCAAGGGCATTTGCCAATCATGTCCAGAATATAATGAGCACTGTACTACGCAAGAACAAAGTCCAAACAGTCTCTTTTGACAAGTGAATATGCTTTTTTTTTTAAAATAAGAGGTTCTAATGCAAAGAGGAGAACTGGGTAAGAGAGTGATTCTACAACAGAAAAAAGACAACACTGAGACAACTTCAATCACCTCCAAAAACCTCTTTTTTACTTCTTTCCCCCTGAGGTAAGGGGCAGATTTAAACATTTATTTTTTTCATACGCAA